CCTCTCTCTCTCTCTCTCTCTCTCTCTCTCTCTCTCTCTCTCTCTCTCTCTCTCTCTCTCTCTTACTGATCGCTTCTTTGCCGTGAAAGTACGACGCACGTTTGGTCGGCACAGTGTAACCTCCATCGCCATACATATATTTGCAACGGCTGCACCTTCTTACACTTTCTGCGGCCGAAATATCAGAGGTGCAAAAGGTGCAATGGAATAAAGCGCGAAATAAGACACATCGTGATTTTGGATGAAAACAAACTCTTAATTTAATAGGGTAAGAGAAACAGAGTCGATCGTGCCGCGTCGACTATTCGGCCGAATATTGCAACGTATTTCGGGCCACGTCAATACAGCAATATATATCTAGAATCTTCTATTTAGCTAATATGAAGGGCTACGTTAAACGCGATGAGGAGGGCAAAATAATCATAGACAATAATGGCTTTATCACAATAACATGTGAAGGTAAGCGGCAACAATGTGCAGTATGTAATAACACTATATCCTACTATCCCTCTATACTCCTTACTGTTGTCACTAGTGTTTGTTATGCTGATCGACAAGTTAAGAATAACTGAATATTAACAATCATTAAATTAGTATATTTATGTATTTGCAGATGAGAGCATAGCGTTCCAACTACATCTTTCAGAAATAGATGACAAAGCTGAGCAAATGTGCTTCAATGTCAATGGTAAAGATATATTCATAGATGTATACCCAGGATGGGAAACAAGTGAGGCTGATCCAATTGTTGAAGCTGAAAATGACAATGACAATTACAAAGTCAGTACACCATCGACAAGTAAAAGTGGGAATGCAGTTTTTCCTTGGTGCGATGCCTCTACAAAAATTTTCCTAAAGGAATACAAACTCAAAAAAGAACTTGTAAAAAACCGCAAATTGAAAAACATGAAACTTGCATATCAGGAAATTTCCAAAAATTTACAAGATAATGGTTTTAATGTAACTCCTTTGCAAGTAGAGAACAGATTTAAAACACTTAAACGGGCTTACAAAAATATGATAATAAGTAACAGACGAACTGGAAGAGGAAAATATATTTGCACTTATGAGCAGTAAGTTTGTTTTGTCAAAATAATATTTGCAAGATGATTTAACTATTAACACAATTGAGTGTTCTTACAGAGATCTAGATGAAATATTTGCAGCCAGGCTTATGCCCGATATGCATGGATCGGATGTGGAAGCTAATGGAGAAGAAAATGCAGAAAATACAGAGTAAGTTTCTTATATCTTCCAAAAATTATTCAAGATAAATATTTTGAAATGAATATTTTCTCAAAAGTGTTAAAAAAATAAAACCTAAGATTTTTTTATCAAGAATTTTATGATCATTGTTAAATGCTTACACATCATTTCAGCAGTAAATTTGGCATCGCTGAAAATGTCAGATTGGAAGCTCAGTTCAAAAGAATGATCGAAAGTCTACAGAGTTGTCAGCGTGCATTAAAAACCTTAACTGCTAAGATGGAAAATAGAAACAAAAATTCCAATGATACACAACACAAACTTTTGCAAGTCTTCATGGAAATGCGAGATATGCATAAGGAAGCATATGCACGAGCAAAAGAAGATAGATTGCACGCTTCTCAACAGAGAGAAAAAACAAATAAATTACTGGGGGAAATAATAAGACTCCAACAAATTAAAAAAGAATCATAATATAATCAATGTCAGCTAAAATGTGTGGAAAATATTTTGTTTTCACCTTCTCACAGTTATAAAGTTACAAAACTTATTTATTTTGTTACATACATGCATATTGATATTATAAGCTGATATCTCTATTCTGTATTTGACACTATATACAAAATTTTAACAATGATTTATTCTGAAAATTTCTAAATAAAAAAGATACTTATCAACATTATATTTTTTATAAGAAATAAGTGTATGTGATACACACATAAACATAAAGAATAACTGAAGTTTTATTTATCCTACAATTCAGAAGTCCTGAGAAAGTAGAAAATTAATTAGAGTCTCCCATATGCACAGTGATTGGCACATGAGCTATTAAACAATGTTATCAAATTGTTTTTATCTATGTCTAATTAACAAATATATATATCGCTATTTTATATGTTATCATAAAATATCATCGTGAACATAAATATTTTTAATATTAATATTTTAACTATTTTCAATATCATATATTTCAATATCCTATTTTTCAATTTCATATTATACTCTTGCATAGGTTACTTCAATTATTTGAAAGTCTACATATACTTACACATTACATTTAGATGCACAACATGTATTTGATTCTTTTCTTTACATAGCATCGAAAGAAATAAATATAAAACGTATTTTATCATCCCTGGGCTTTGGTTTTTTCCTGATCGAGTAAAAATGCGCGTCGTTCTGTAACGTTTTGTAACTTATAATATCCTATAATAAGGTTCTGTACTTAATAGACGTTTGATGTACGTGCGATATGACATAAGCTAAGTTCGTTTTGCACGTTTTCGTGCTAAGAGCATTATTCTATTTTGCTTCGCACGTAATAAATGGGTACGTTCAGCAGAGAAAGCTGCTTTGCAACTGTTGTAAAATTCGTGAATCTAATTGGAGCACGCTTTTAATTTTGGTTGAATCCAAGAGCATATATCAATCAGATTTTACAACAGTTGCAAAGCAGCTTTCTCTGCTGAACGCAGTCAATGATAAAGATAGAATGATGCTTTCAGTATAAAACGTGCAAAACGAACTTAACCATAGAGAACATTTCAACGCCACGTGTAAGAGGGGCTTTACGTTAATGAGCGTTTCGCTTCCTCTGTCGCTCACATGTCTTGCGGTTGTGCGCTAACATATTTTCCTATTTATTGTCGTATTTATTAATTTATTGGTAATGATGATCGTTTCAACGAACCAGGGCAATCCGAATGCGTTGAAGTTAATTATCGCGGCTAAATTAGCCCAAGAGCCTGTCACCGTTAAAATTGTAAAGCCTAAAGGTGATTTTATTAACCTCTTCCTCTTCACCCAGCTAGTGTAATCGCGTAAATCTTTAATTGTAATCAAGAGAAATATTTTTTTAAATTGCGCAAATATAGATTATGTGTATCCTTCTTTCGACTGTCATCGTCAATTAACTTAAACGACATCAGTCTTTTTAACAATTTTTCCACGAGTATCATGCAATATTAACATGTGTTACATGATGTGCAGATACTCTTCTAGGACGCTTGCCAACGTTAACTACATCTTCCGGGTTATCTTTATTCAGTGTTTCCTCAGCACTGCGCTTCCTGTTATCCATAGCTGCAGAATTGGAGATTCTTGATAATAAGTGGTTGGAATGGGAAATTTCTCAATTACAGGTAAAATATCAATATCTAATAAAAAAAAAACCAAATTTTAAATTTATTTATGTATCTTTTACAGCCAGCGATATTAAATTATGCAAGTGGGAAAATTTCTTCCAAGGACTTACTGTCTTTACTCAAAGATCTCAATAGTGAATTAAAAGATAAACAGTACTTAATTCAGGTAAATGATATAATCAATTTCTTATTCTTTGACAAGAATATAATTATATTTTTTTATTATTCTTATCTGTTTCTATTCAGACTTTTAATTTTCAGACACATAGTTATTTATCACCAGCAGATATTTCTATTTGGGTTAGTATATGGAGTACTCTATTAGTTACGGAATGCAAAGATATTTCTGTACATTTGCCAAACATCATTAATTGGCTAACTAACATAGAACAGCATTCAGTTATTCAGGTAAAGTGTGCAATATAGTTATTATTTTATAAAAATTTCATTGTACAGCTATTATATTATAAATATATAAATTTCACATAATTACAATTATCTTATGTATTATAGGAATCTATTAAAGAATTTGACTTTGTGAGAGGTCCAAAGGCAATTACAAGTATAGAAGCTGCTTCTTGGTTTCCTGTCCATGTAGTTTCAAATATTCATGCTCGTGAATCAATATCAAGTGATGTAAGTATATCTTATCAATTTTTATTATTTCCGTATTTTTTTCTGATATGTAAACATAAATGTCTTATATATTAAATCTAAATATCAGACCAGTCCAACTAAGGAAAAGGAGATGGAAGCTGTTAGTGAAGAAGAACTTCGTAATGTGACTAGTAGTTGGTCTACTGGACAATATCTAGAAGTCAAGGAAACTTCATATCCAATGTAAGTTGAATAAGTTAAACATATTTACATGTGTATAAACGAGTAGAATTAATAACATCATATTTCTTTAGATTACCCAAGAAAGGTGAAAGGAATGTATTGATAACATCAGCTCTTCCTTATGTAAATAACGTTCCACACCTGGGAAATATCATTGGATGCGTTCTTTCAGCTGATATCTTTGCAAGGTACATATACATATTATTACATTATTTTTAACTTACATATAACATCTCGTTTTGTCATTTTGTACAGGTACTGCAGGCAAAGAAATTATAACACTCTCTACATAAGGTAATCAATCTAGCTTCTTTGATAACGTAAAACGTTACGTACAATCACATGTTCTAACCAAAATAATTGTAATTTTCAGCGGCACTGACGAGTACGGTACTGCGACCGAAGCGAAAGCTCTGCAAGAGAAAACTACTCCTCAAGCTATCTGCGACAAGTTCTTTGACATACACAACGACATTTATCGCTGGTTCGGCATTGGATTTGATTATTTTGGCCGCACTACTATACCCGAACAGACAGAGTAAGAACATTTTCATAAACACTTTTATTTTTATCTCTCGACTTTCATTATATTATCAAAATCTCTTTCAGAATCGTTCAGTCGTTTTTCCTGAAGATTCGGTCGCAAGGTTACATATTGAACGAAACCGTAGAGCAACTACATTGTGAGTACTGTGATCGATTTCTCGCCGATAGATTCGTGGAAGGCACATGTCCCAGATGCAAATACGAGGACGCGCGCGGTGATCAATGTGACGGCTGTGGTCATTTAGTGAACGCGGTCGAGTTGATAGAACCACGATGCAAGATGTGTAGCACTAAACCCACCATTAAGAACTCGGTACAGTTCTTCCTGGATTTGCCCAAGGTAAATGTCTCTGTTTTTTATTTCTTCAATTTTGTTTTTCAGTCATTAAAATATTATAGCCAACTAATATGTGTAACTCTTTTGTATTGCAGATAGAAGATAAGTTAAAACAATGGTCCGCGACCGTAAACAAAGAGTGGTCTAGCGTCGCGAAAGTCGTGTCGAAGTCATGGTTCCGCGACGGCCTTAAGCCACGATGCATAACCAGAGACTTGAAGTGGGGTATACCGGTGCCCGTAAACGGGTTCGAAAATAAAGTATTTTACGTCTGGTTTGACGCTCCTTTCGGATATATCAGTATTACAAAGAGGTATACCAAAGAATATGAGAAATGGTGGAAACCTCAGGATACAAAAGTCGATTTATGTCAGTTTATGGCGAAGGATAACGTCCCATTCCACGCGATAATGTTTCCTGCTTGCTTGATAGCGGCTAATCAAAATAATACGTTGATCAAGTATTTAATGGCAACTGGTACGATATATATGTATCCAAAAAGTCTGTCAGATGCTATATTATCTTATAACTACATATTTCTCTTTTTTTTTATATTTTATCTAATGAACATTTTATTTTTTCTTATGTGGGTTTGTGTATTCCACTTTTTTTTCTTTATGTCTTTTCTATTACTCGCAGTCTTAATTGACAATTTTCTTACCACTGATTTAATATTTATCTTATTTCAGAGTACCTAAATTATGAGGATAAAAAATTCTCCAAGTCCAGAGGTGTTGGAGTATTTGGGACCGATGCCAGAGATACTGGCATCCCAGCGGATGTGTGGCGATTTTATTTAGCCTATATTAGACCCGAAACTCAAGATTCCAATTTTAATTGGATAGATCTAGCCACGAAAAATAATAGCGAATTACTCAATAATCTTGGCAATTTCGTTAATAGGTTTGTAGTTTGCCTCGACTCTCTATTAGCTATGAATAACTGACATCATAATAATTCGTTATATTTTGTTGCGATAGAGCTCTAATGTTTTCTGAAAAATTCTTCGACTCTAATATACCGCCGGTAAAGCTGGAAGAAGCCGATTGGACCGTGTTAGCGTTAGCACAACGTGAACTAGCATCTTATATAAATACTATGGAGCAAGCCAAGTTGAGAGACGGCTTGAAGCATATACTGGCGATCTCGAAACATGGCAATCAGTACATGCAATTCCAGCAACCGTGGGTAAAAATTAAAGGAACCGACGATGACAAGTAATTATCATTAATACGTCTTTATTTAACAACTATCTCATTAGTTCTTCCTGATTTTCTGACGAGAGATCGTCTTTGTTTAAAATCAACAGAAATAGAGCCGGGACCGTTGTCGCAATTTGCTGTAATTTAGCTTGTCTCTTATCGGCTCTTCTGGCTCCTTTCATGCCTACTACAGCTAAACAATTGAGATCTCAATTGGGTTTGAGTAACAAAAGTTACGGTTACATTCCCGATATGATAACGAACATGTTGCCTACTTGGCATAAAATTGGCAAGCCCAGCCCGTTGTTCACAAAAATTGAAGAGCAGCAGGTGGAAGTGTTACGGAAGAAATATGCTGGACAGCAGGAGGTCAATGGTTGTACATCGAATGTGTCTTCCGACGACAATATTACGTCTCTAGAGGCTGCCATCACGAAGCAAGTTAGTAAATCTTTTTTTTTTCTGTATGTGTAAATTGTTTCATTTTTTACATTTCGTTTATTTTCCAGGGTAATCTAGTTAGAGAACTGAAAGCAAAGAACGATAAAAGCGTTTGGAAGCCTCAAGTAGAACTTTTATTGAATCTGAAGAAAAAGCTTGCCGATCTCAAAGGCAACGCGGAGAAGGCGCCTGCAAAGAAGTCACCTGCGAAAAATAAGAAAGCTGACTCGACGAACATGCAAAAGCAAAACTGTAACGCAATTACTGCTAATCAAGAATCCGCAACGAGACATACTGACGAAACAAAACTTATCGACCTTAAGAACAAGCAAACTTCTAACGAAGAATCACCGAAGGTAATGGATGTCAGATATTTTAAACAAATAAAAATGTAGATAATAACATTGCTGATAAACAGTATTTATAATAAACTCCTTTTTGCTGGTAAACTATTTCTGGATAAACTGTCAACGTCGTGCAAAAAATCTCAAATCAGAACGCAGGAAGGTTAAAAAATATTGTTTTGATTTTTACGTTCTAGAGGGATGTCGAGAATGCTCTGACGGATGTAGCGATGTTAAAATCAGCTATCACAAAACAGGTATTGCATATCGCTAAGAGGGTTTTTCTTCACGATAATATCACGCTCGCTTTCCTAATTCGCGATGTCGCAATTTCAGGACAATCTCGTGCGAGAGTTAAAGGCCAAGGGAGACGCGAGCGTGTGGAAACCGCAAGTGGAGATATTATTGAAATTAAAACAGCAGTTAATGGATCTCACTGGAATAGCGCCAGTTGTCGATAAGAAGTCCAAGAAGAAAAAATAACTTGTTTTTTTACCTTAAACTAACAAGACAATTTCGATTAGTTATATCATACATATGAATTTCTCCAAATTTATATTCTATTTATGCGTAGCTGCGTCGACGCGTATACAAGGCATGACATTGTAATATTTTACTAAAGATAAAAAAATATCTTATTTAATGCTATTATTGTATTTTACATTTGCACGCAGTGCATCAGGGTTATCTTTGGAATGTGAGCGGAGTAGTGAAAAGACATTTGTACTTTACTTAAACACATTCGTTCGTGTTTCTTACTTTTTGCGCACAGCGTATATCTGTATACATAACAATGATCTGGTAAATAATTTATAAGAGATCGAGAACGTTATTGTTTATAATTTTATCTGCACACCTGTCTATCTATACCGAAACTCATCATTTTTTCATCTGTACGTTTTTGGGAAAAGTATTTTTCTTTGGGAGAGTCAGAGTGACATTCTTTTTAGGTAGTACTTTACCTTTTAGCAATAGCTTATCTCCTTTAGGAGGCACAATACCTGGTGCTTTACTTTTCGCTAATAGCTTGTTTCTCTTAAAAGGTACAACGCCCGTTTGTTTTGAGTGTATTAAACGGAATATGAAGTTTTCGATGCCGAACACAATCAAAGAGAATATCATGCCGAAGAGTAAGAGGAATAAAATCGGCGCTACTTCGTAGATCGTCACGCTGGAAACGAAGATCTCTTCGGTCGGACAGTAAGGTTTCCTAGCTTGTCGGCGACGTATTTCTCGTCGCCGGATTCCCGAGGTGGATATCCTGATCAACCTGATGGTATCAATGCATGTAATATCAAGTAAATGACAAATCGATATTTATCTTTCACGTCGGGGAGAGAAAGCTACCTCCTTCGAACATACCAGCGACACGATCGCTTACCCTACTTTGCAGATTTCGTGAAGGTGACTGTGGAGATTGCTCCACAAACCCAGTTCAGACGGCTGTAACAAGTGAACTTCTGTGAGCTGGCAGATCATCTGTTTGTCGAATGCTAAATCAATAGACGGATAGATATCGTCCGGATCGGCGTGATAGGCGAAGCCGCCTTTCTTCATTTTCTCTACTCCCTCCTCTAAAGGGATAAATTTCCTCGAATACGGTAAACTGTTCCAATAATGGTTGAAGTACTGCACGTCAGGTCTGGCATTCTAATAATATTGAAATCTTCGTAAAAACGAAGAAGACTGAAAGGTAGCATCTATATGCTTCTGTATCGGTGCGCGTCATTACCCGTAACAGAAAGTTGAAGAAGACGTTCTGCTCGGCTCCGAGATACATCTTGCTATGTGCCAATGAGTACAACGAATCGTTCATCTTCTGAAGAGGCTCGTTCAGTCTAGCCGACACTATCGCCGCCGAATAATAATTGTACACCAGCAAGCCGAACACCGTGATTTGGATTAGAGCCATTCGACTGGCCGATTGTTCGGAAAGAGAGGGAAAACCTAATATCAAAATCAAGTAATTACATATCAATGTAACATTATACTATAATAATGGAAGAGTATTTTATAAGCATACCTTGCTGGCACAAGGCGCCAACAGCGACCAATGCTGAAACGCTATAACTGTAATCGCCAGCACGTTCCAACTTCAATATGAAAGACAAAACGAACACGATTATCACCACGAGCAAGAGGATCGTGCACCATGTGTCCACCGCGAACGGTTTGAATATCACCAAAGGTTTCACCTTTGTCGCCGGAATGGTACGAAACATGAAGCAGGTTCTGGAATAAAAAAAACAAGAGTAAAAATTATCGGTGCATGTAAGTGAACAATCGTTTCTTTGCACATTTACCGTGTTGGCCATTGCGGAAGGATAACACGCGCGAATGCGTATCGTTCTATCGTTAAGATCGACGGATAATAGCCCAAGTCAGCCTCGCCCCTCTTCAAAGAGCCCATCAAGGGGCCATAAGTGTCGTTCTTTTCCCAGTGATTGATCTCGATGATATCTATGCTATGGAAATATTTTCAATGAGCCATCAGTATACAATATGGATAAAAAATAATGCTAAAATAATATTAACGTAAAGACTTTATCGAAGTGATTACGTGAAATTAAATATCTCAGAAACGCGCGCGAGAAGAGTGTATCCAAATTTCGGCCAGTTATCCATGATCTCGAGTTTATCCCTTTCTAGGTAGTCCAACAGATCCACTGTATCCGGCCTGTGTAGCACCTACGAATGCATCATCTGCATGATAGACAGCCGCAAATAATGAAGTCCAAAGAATATTCAAGAAGCGTCAAACACTCCACGTTTTTCAAACTTCCACGTGTTTGATATATCGCGTTTTGATGAAGAAAAACTTACGATCCCAGCCGCTTTGATTTGTATCCCGTGAAAGTTCCGTCTTCTGATAATTTTCGGCTCAAGTAAAACAACCCTGAGACCGTCTTTCTTATTCCAAGTACCGAGTCTTGTGATGTTCAGTACTCCGCCGCGCAATTTAAAGGTGTTATATACGTCGTAGAGAACGTAATCAGATTCCTCGTCTGGTACCAATATCACGAAATCTGTAACGACACTGAAACCGCTGTCATTCAAGCTTTGCACACTGTGGCTCAAGTTAGTTCCTAGGATCAACCAATTGTACGTGTAGTCGAACAAGCGATGTTCCAAACCCTGCGTGGAAACATTATTCTTATCTCATTTATGGAATTTTACATATAGAAATATAACTCAACTTATTCATCTTTCTTCTCTCATAGTTAGCACAATTATTGCGATGAGGAAAGAGTATGCTTACTTCGTCGTAAATGCCGCTGAAATTCTGACTCGGACACCGTACGTCCAGAAAAACGCCCATGGTGCGGTCGGTTTTGAGATACCTGAGAATGTTAAATTGAAATCCAGCTGGTTTGATCGCGGCGGAGATCCTGACGGTGTTCAACAGTTTTATCGTGAGGAGATCGTCTGCGAAAAGGGATTAATGAGGATCACGCATGAAGAAACACAATATGCTACTCACCTTCCATATTTCCGCAAGAGAACCCTACGACTCTGGATACATTCTTGTAAACGAAGTAGTCCCGAATAATGAAACTGTCTTGCGCCCACGCGACGACGACAAACGTGTGAAGCGAAAAGATAACGCCCGACAGAAACCTCATCCCTTTCTTAGTTGTGCATGACCTACAAAGCTATGATAACGCCACAATGTGCTGTTTTAAGCCTAAGCTCATGTCGTTTCGCTTTTGCTTGAAATGACAAGATGATCTCGACAGAAACAATTTCGCAGAGTTTAACTTCGTTCATAACTCTCATGTCGATCGACGTGACAGCATAATCACAGCGACTACTACGACTCGTAGACATATAAGGTGCCCCGACATCTCTCTCTCTCCTATATATCCTTTTGGTATTTTCTAAACCGTCAGATTTTTTATTCAAACCATTTCTCATTAAAATGAAACATTCTTTCAAGTCAATAATTTGAAGTTTTATTAGACACATTTGTTATGTGTCTACGCTATTTGTTATAATCTGTCATTGAAAAATCTCACGATGATTCGGAGACACCCTATATACGGTAAGATGTTCAGCTCTTCCGCTACTTTATCCCTCTTCTCTATCATTTACCTCAAAATCGAATCTATTACGATCGATTTGCCTGTCTTCCTGCCCAGCTATTTTCCCTGAGAAAGTATTCATAAGAAAGTTCGCCAGCGAGCTACCTATCATGCAAAGCGTGATCCGCTTTTATTCGAACATTACAACGATTGAGAAAAACTACACCTATTATGTCTCCTTAGTGCATACGATAACGAAATACTAACGAATTTACAATTAATAACGCACGTCCGACATATAAACATTCTACTTCTTGAGCTATTTCACTCAGGTGACTTGTGCTCGCTAGTGCCAGCTATTCCCTCCGCGTCGACGCTGCTCACTCGCCTTCGGATTTCCTCTCTGCAAACGAAATCGGAAGTTTCAGCTGAACTGTCCACTCAGAAATGTGGAAGGCTATTACCTCATGGATCGATTGTAGACAATATTCTCGATGACACATATTACACACGCGACAACCATGCCAAAGGCTAACAGAATCAAAGCCGGGGCAGTCTCGTATATGGTTATGCTTCTCGTGGATAACGTGTCAAGCTGACATTGAGGCTTCCTGCTCGACCAAAATTTTACCTGTCGGTCGCGTAATCCGGTGTTAAACATTTTGGACAATCTACAAAAAGAAATTTCTCTAGACTATGGCAAGACAGACAAAAATCAAGCTAAAAGAGAGAAAGAAAAAACTTACCCGATCTTTGCCATCTCGGTGAACTGACCATTACGACTGGCGTACATACCCATAACGGACTGTTTGAACAGATGGATCTCCGTCAATGCACAGATCTGGTTCGCGTCGAACATCCTCTCAATATAAGGATACGCCGTGTTGGGATCCGTGTGATACGCCAAGACGCCTTCGCTCACCTGTTTCATACCTTCCTCTAGCGGCAAGTATCTCTTCGACTCCGGCAGAGGATCCCAGCGCTTCTTTCTGAAGTAATTTGACTCCCAGTTGAGCTTCTGCAAGTTCCACGTGAGAATTATTAGTCTGAAACATTATTTCTGCAATTCCTTGTATAAAAAATCTTAATACGTCAAGCAGTACACATACATATAAGAAGTAATTCAAGTACGGCACAGCTTCTGCGGCAATTTTCAGGTCGCTATCCGCCAGCACAGTTATGGAGTCTTCCATCATGTCGAGCGGCTCGCTCAGACGAGCTGACACTATGCTGGCTGAATAGTAGTTGAACATAATCCAATTGAACACAAGGATTTGCAGAAGAGCGATGCGGCTTGGGACGCGCTCGGGAGAGAAATTCGCACCTGCGACGAGCGTCAGATTGTCGGAGCGATCGTAATTCACGTATATGCGTCACTTAAACTGTATCTCGCTGCCGTGTATCTTACCTTGTTGAGCGACAATGCCAATGGTAAGAACCACTGCGCCGGAATACTTTTCGCTCTTGCTCGACTCTTCGTGTCTCATGATTAGCCTCATTATAAACATGCAGATTATGATGAACACGGTGTTTAAGTACCAGATCTCTTGTGTAAACGGCTTCAAGAAGATCTCGAGTTTGATGTTGTTTCCCGTAGTAGACAGCAACATGAAGCAAGGCCTAAAAAAAGGAAAAAGAAGGAAAGAAGAGAATTGTTTATTAAACGATTAAGTCTCTCTTAAGACGGATATTGCCGATACCGAATTGGCCAGGCCGCACCAATGAGACTGGCGTAATCTAATCTCTCGGATACCATAATCCTGGGGTTACTGCCGAAGTCGATGTAATTCGCATGTAAAATCTCAAATATCAAACCGTGCACGCTGTGACGATCCCAGTAAATGATCTCCTCGGCGTGTACACTTCAAACATAAATTTTGCGGAATTACTGTCTATGACATACACAGTTGAACATACAAATCTATCAAACAAGAAAAATATAAAAGTACCTGAAGTTAAAGAGATCACCAGTATGAGATATCATCGCGTACAAGAACTTATGCATGCTGTCTAAAGATCTGGTGTTGATATCGTGCATGTAATCCTCCAGACGCATATTTTTCGGCCTGTATTGTATCTACGGTAGTATTTTTGCACGTCGCGCAAGTCGATACGTAATATAAATAAAAAATACTTCAATCCTTTTTACAATTAGATATGCGACAATACGAACCACGCCTGATATTTTCAGCGTCATGCCGTGCATATTGGCTCTCCTCTGGACCAAAGGTTGAGTCAGAATGATGGTGAGGCCGGTTCCAGCTCGCCAAGAACCTAGTTTTGTCACGTTTAGAGCACCTCCTCGATACTTGCAGTGATTGAAAATATCGTAGAGATCGTAATCGCTGCCGTTCGAGATCGCGAGCGTAAGATCGGTGGTCATGCTGTACGCGCTGTCGTCTAAAAGATGCGCGCTCTTGTTCAGCTTTGATCCCAAGACCAGCCAGTTATACGAGTAATCGTACATACGATACTTGGAGCTCTGACAGACGGGAAATAGTAGTCTTTAGATCCTTTTTGCTTTATTTCTTTTTTGTTTTCTGCATAAAAACGAGATAACTAAGCGATTTGTCGACTTTAGAAGTTGTCTTACTTCGGAGAAAATGGACACGGTGCTGTTGTTTTCATAACATCGTAGATCCACGACGACACCCAAAGTCCTAGTCTCCATGTTCAGGAAGCGTCGTATGTTGAGCTTCGTGTTGGGCTCACGGATGATCGTGAATATACCAGCGCTGCTTAATTTCTTCACGAAATAAAAATCACCTGCGGTAAGGAAAAACAAAAATGGGTAGAGAAGAAGAAGTAAAAAAACATGTGCATATTCTAGAAATAGATGCTGGACAATATAATTCCGATGGTTCAGCGATTGAACCTACTTGTGAAGTTTCCGCAGGAGAATCCCACGACATTTCGCACCGCTTTATGTACGAAATAGTCGCGAATGAAGTCATTGTCATCTGCGTTAACGTTAAAAACAAATCGTAGCAGTGCGAAAAACGTCACGTACATTCCAACATGTTTCACTTTCAGATTATACATATCGCCCCACGACAAAATTAAGCGATAAATAACCTCGCGATATTTTACGCAATGCGGAGACTACAACGAGGTACGCGAATATGAGTGAACGAAGTAGGTAATGGAGATGGAATACAATTGTCGGTTAATAATACAACATTGAGACAATATTAATTCAACGTGATATCGAAGTCGTGCTGTCTCATTGTTTATTCATGTCAGTAGCTATTGTGATTCAGATAGACATTGAGTTCTGTTAAGATATAAGAGGCAGGTAACGTGTCATTGTCAAATGCATCGCATGTCAATTAATTATTTGCGCGTACGATTTACGACGAATAAAGAACAAATTGGTGATAACATTTTATCGAAATAAGCGCATCCGCGAGATTGGACGTTACATAAAAACGATTTATCATTAGCGCAGAGGTACTTCATTCCGCGCAGCAGATCAACGTCGCATGATACAGATTTTTCGGCTCTGATGAGTCATTTCTCGTTAGCGGACATTGATAATCTGTAAAAATGGAAAGAGTTTGAAATTATTTCTGTCTCTCTCGCACTTCTCGCTTAATCACACGATGTTACCGTATAGGTCGCATCCAGTAGATGAAGTTCTCTGTAATACAGATTACGATGGAGAGCGCGACGGAGATGCTGAGAAAGGCGAAAACAGGCGCGGCCTCGTGGATCGATAGCGGTTCGGCGATTAGCATATTCCTTGGACAGAAGGGCTTCCTCGGCGACCAACGCTTCAGCTGACGCTTGCGTATGCCCATGTCGTACATTTTGATCAGACTGCGACAGTCGCAATGTAACTTCAACAATTGCTGGCCTTGACCTTCGGTATACTATCGTGATATTAATTAAGTTCAGTGATTAATTTATTTTATTTAAAAGAGGCAAATTTTTTTCTTTGATCTTTGAGAGATTTCTGAGAAAGAACAAAAGTCATGAGATATTGAGTTCAATAGAGCTTATTGGTATATCGAAGATTAATCATGACGATAATTTCTAACGTATTTCGCTTACCCAACTCTAAACAGTGGCGTGAACGGACTTCTGCGTCTAGTCCAGAGAGCTAACACAGCGCGAAAAAGATGGACCTCCGTCATCTCGCATATCATCCGCGGTTGGAAATTTCGCTCGATGTACGGATATGCAGAATCGATGGTTGTGTGATAAGCGATTCCGCCTTCGGCCACTTTATTTAGGCCCTCCGCTAGAGACAGATATCGTTTGGACTCCGGTACTCTCTCCCACCGTCTCTCCATGAAATATTGGACCTCCTTCTCTGGTGACTTATGTGTCATGTCAGGGAATAATTAATAATTAAAAAATTATTATTATCTTAAGTCAATCATTAGTGATATAAACTCCAAAGTGCAAAGGAATGTGGATTACCTTCAGAAAAGTACGAAGATAAGGCGTAGGTTCGGCCGCTATTCTCAGGTGGCTGTTTGCCAGATCAATCAACGAGTCGTTCATCTTCTGGGCTCTATTCTTCAGGCGATCCGACACGACGCTCGCGGAATAGTAGTTTAGAATCAGCAAACTGAACAGCATGATCTGCAGAAACGCTATGCGACCAGCATAATGATACGGAACCACTACGGCACCTGCGAGGAGGTTTAATCAATTTATCAAGAGTCCTCCACTCAATTATCAATTATTTGAAGAACCGATGAATTTAATCAGAGAAATTAATATACATTGCTGGGACAGAGCGCCTATAGCAAGAAGAACAGAAATGCCGTAGCCTTCCTTCATGTCGTGAATGCCTTCTCGTTTCAACAATATCGCCAAGATCAACGCGCTGATCACTATCATGCAGAGTATCAGATACCAAACCTTGATATTTAACGGTCGCAAGAATTGCTCTGTCTTCAAGTTTGCCGAGGATATCGTGCGAAATAGAAAGCATGTTCTGCAATGTGGATCATGACGAGTTATGAGACGAAATTAACGCGTTACTTTAACGCGTTATTAACGCGTTTACTTGTCGCAGAATCACTCACCGCATCGGCCATACCGGTCCGATAATGTCTCCCATCCTTAATTTTTCCGTCTTCATTACAATTGGACTGGCGGAAATATCTATCGCTTTCTTTTGAAAGGCTGCGAATATTGGCGCAGTATTGTCTTGCCGCTTCTTCGGATTAACTTCCACGATGTCCATCCTGAAAAAGAAAAAGAAGTATACAAAAAGGAGAGCGTAAAAAGCCGAAGAGCCCTGCGAAGATTCTTACGTGAAATTGAAAAGATCGGCCATATGTAATAAGAGTGTGAAAAGAAACTGAGATCGGCCATATTTCGCTTTCAAGTTGTGATCCAATATGATATCCTCCGTTGACAAATTGTAAGCTTTATACGACAACTGTGGGATGTTGCTAGTCAATGTATTATCCAATTTGCATCAATTTACATGAAATTTGCTGAGCGATTGATTACTTACCAAAATTCCTACTTTAAGCTTCATACCATGCAGATTGGACCGTCTCGCGAACATGGATTGCTTAAGCTTAATCGCCACGCCAGACTTTTCGGTCCAATAACCCAAAGCAGTTACGTTCAAAGAGCCGCCGCGTTCCTTGCAAGGATTGTAAACTTCGTACAGATCGTAACCGGTGAGAGATGGTACAGCGATCGTGACGTCAGTCCCCACGCTGAAGGCATCGTCATTGAGCAGTTTCACGGTGTCATTCAAGTTCTGTCCCAAAATCAGCCATTTGTGCGTCTCATCGTACATCAGATACTTCGTAGCCTTAAACAAAGTAATTGAAGATTAGAAGAATTCAATCAATACTACTACTACTAATTTAATTTCCTTTTTAAAAGTATCTATATTCAGAGAAAAAGACGTGATGGCAACTATAAAGTGACAATTATACAAATTTTGTATATAGAATTGATATATATAGTTCAATAAACTGTTTTATAATTATTGCAACTAAAATTTGAATTGCAGTAACTAAAAATGTACATATATATAATACCATGTTTTTCTCTAAATGTTCTCTTCCAAGACTCGTTTTTTCATGAACGTACTGAGAGTCGTATTTTTTACCTCGGAATAGATTACGGTGTAATTCTGACTATCACACTGCGCGTCCACGTAAATGCCTAAATTGCGATAGTTGCCGTACAAGAGTCTCTTCAAGGTACGCGACGAGAGTCTGCTCACGGAATCGAGGTTCCACACTGATGAAAGTACGTAGATATCGTTGAATGTCTTCGCGAATTTCGCGGCATCTGCATCAAGAGAAGTACTTCAGCTTTTAGTAACGAAAGATATGTATATCTCTTTTCGTTTAGACGTCCTTACGTACGCTCGATAGTGCCGCAGGTGAAACCCACAACGCTAGATACGCCTTTGTGCGTGAAGTAGTCTCGCACCATAATGTTATCGTTGATGCATGAGACATACAGCAGACGTGACAAAAACAGTAATATCCAACTGTTACGGAACATTTCTTAGATTGTAGGAATTGCGCGAAGATCGAGCGGTAATACGAAGAGCTTAAAGAAGCACTAAGGGAAGGAAAACGGGGAGGAATACCTGACAAATGCCGCATTCAGGTATTATCAAATATTCAACGCATGAGTTTCCTCATAAGTGTTTCTATTCTCACGATATGAAATAATAATCCCTCCGATTTATTCACTTACCTACGTTCACATAGTATATTTACGCACAATCTTCTATAATTTATAGTTATACTGCGTTTGTTTTCTTCTCGAGTTTCTTTGACGACGCTATTTCTTAGAATTATCTAGGAAACTGGAAGTGGCGATGGTAAAATCAGGAATTTTCTTTTTCACTGGAAAAGTCGAGGTATGTAACATAATGGAAAAAAATAATAATTATGTAGAAAGAATATCGATTTAAAATTGCAGGCTTAGTTAATGTAATTTGTACTCTTTCTAAGTATATACCATTATGCGTATAAAGATACATTCTGATACGGCATATATATATATATATATATATATATATATATATATATATATAT